ACACGGGTCCGAGACGAAGACCGGCGGACTGACCAGGGAAAAGCACCTTAGGATAGATCATAGAGCATAGTGGGAGATTATTGGTTGTAATGCTCTACGATGATTCGTGATATGACTTTTTGACTATGTATTGATTCATTGGTTTATGAATGCTTTACTTTTTCCGTGATATGATTGACATGTTTGTTATATTTCGGTAGATATCCTTGAATCATTGCAGATGATTCTAAACTCCCTGGTCAGATGTCATTGTGGGAACAATGATGAATTAAGACCAGCATGATGTGTGATAGATGATGATGATCATATGCATTGGATGCAAATCACAATCATGGGTTCTCGTTTGGAACGAGTTACTGGATGACCCGCATGAGATTATCACATGGACATGAGTCATGACTTGAATCTCATACAGCGGTTCGTTCTTGGATCCTCAGACCTGAGATGTCTAGAGTATCTGATATGAGGAGTGACGTGTCTTGACTGCGTCCAACGTCGTCTTTAATCGGATGATCATAACGGCGTTACTCAGATACGTTCATGAATCATATGCAGATAGTAGACATGCAATACGAGACTTGTCACCTCCTACGTAGGAGAGATGTCGTTGGACCCCTCGTGGAAATCGGACTGTGAAAATGCGTGGCCACGCTATAGATGAAGGTACATCTATTTTATCAGTCGATTTGCCTAGACGAGTAACCGGTTGAATTTGAAGGGTGGCTCATACCATGCCCTTGTTCAACATACGACATCGTGAGACAAAGGATCTGAACTCGAACTATGGTTGGCTTTGTTAGATCACCTCTAACTCTATTCTAGGTGGGTGGTCATGGCGTCTTGCTAGAGGTTAACCATGACTTTTGGTTCGGGAAAGGGTTTCTGAAGCCACTACCACTTCGAATGGGCCTACAGGGTCACACACCATTAGGGATGGATCACACGTGAAGAGAACGATGCGGAAAAGGAACAACGGAAAGAGCTGGAAGAGTTGCAGATGGAAAGACCGTCCGGTCCAGGTCTCAACCGAACGATCCAGTCGTATCAGACCGTCCGTTCTAGTGAAAATGGATTGTCTGTTCCGCAAGGGGCCAGACCGTCCTGTCCAGACCTGGACTGGACGGTCCAGACGTCAAGACCGTCCGTTCTGCGAGGAATAACAGATCGTCCGTTCCGCGTAGAAGGTCAGACCGTCCGGTCCAGACCTAGACCGGACGGTCCGACTTACGAGACAGTTTCTTTTTTCGCGTTTTAGGGTTTTGGGCAATCCTAATTAATGAAAAGAGCCGCCACAAACCCTAAGAAATCATCCTCATACGTCCTAGACACTTCCTAGAGCTTTGGAGAAGCTTTGTCTTGAGTTCTAAACACCGGAATATATATTTCAAGTCAAGGACGTCGTTTTCTCTTCACAAATCCTAGCAGATACGTTCCAAACTGTTGGAATTCATCCCGCCGGGTGGATACGTGTAGAGGAGTTGTGCTTTCAACTCTAGGTGATTAAAACAGGCCCTAGATCGATTGATACTTCCAGATCTTGATAGAAAGAGGTAAGTATTCGAATCCCACGTGATATACACGTTCTTTCGGGTTATTGCACAATTGGTTTTGTGTCACGTTTGGCTAGGTTTAGATCTTTTCTTCCGATGAGATCGCATGCTAGGAACCCGCAGGGAACCCAATGGAATCATCGTTTACAACCCGTTAATTTTACTTGCTTTCTCGTATTCCGACACTTGCCATAAACCACATTTTTTATTGGATCACCTAATCTAGCTTAGAGATAGACTAATACATCCTAGTCATTGTGTTCGACCCCGGTACTACAACTACCGTATACTTGCGGATAGTGGTACGAATCAGGTACTAAATATAAGACTCGGTGCGTGCGCATCAACATTCACGTCCATCCCATATGTGTGTGACCCTTTAGGCTCCTCCGAATACGGCAGTAAACACGAGATCCAATATTGCTTTACAAATCATAAGCGGTCTCTAGCAAGACATTATGATTACCCGTATCGGAAAGAGTTAGATGTGATCTAACCGAAAAGCCAGAGATAGCTCTAACAATGATCCTCTTCGTCTCACGATATCATAATCGAACTCATAGTTCGAATGCTTTGTCGTATCCCGAGTAGACTGTAAGAGATAGATGACATTCATCTATAGTGCGGCCACACATTTCTACAGTCTCAATCCTACGACGGGTCCAAGCGATATCTCTCTCTTTCGAGAGGGACAAAGTTCCATCTTGACTATCTACTATCCATTACATGATTCGTAATGTACCCGAGCCACGCCTTTATAATCATCCGGTTAAAGACGATGTTTGACGCAGTCAAGGTACATTACTCGTCATGATGGATACAATAGATATCTCAGGTCTGAGGATCCAAAGTGAACCATCAAGTGAGATTCAAGTCATGGATGAAATCCAATCGACAATCTCACACGATCAGTCACTTGTTCCAAACAAGTACTCATGACCGTGATCCGTATCCAATACACATGATCATCATCATGATCATCCATCACGCTCATGTTAGTTTTAATTCATCATTGCTCCCACAATGACAAGCGATTAAGGAATGTAGGATCGTTCATACCGATCCATGGATGTCATTATTTATCAAAATATGCAAAATAAATAATGAACAAACAATGCATCCATCCAATAAATACATCGTATCATACATAGTTCTCATATCGTATGATCATCCTAGAGCATCACATCCATCATCGAGTTCTCGTCCATATCCAATACCACGAAGTCGACCGGTATATATTAGGTAACTATTGTAATTACCATACACGTCAATGATTAGTTAATAAAATCCGAAAATTTTTAACGAAAATGATGATTATGTATGTAATTATTGTTAATTTTAACAATTCGTATAGATATTTGAGAAATTTTGAATTCAAATAAGTTTTTATCAAATTAAAAATATGTATATGAAAAGATCATATTTTATTAAATTCGTGATCATGTCTGTTCATAGTGAGAGATTGATATTTTCTATAATATTTATTTATTAACAATAATTTAATAACAATATTTTTATGCATTTTTTCAGCATTCCTATTTGGGAAAAATTTATTATTCTTCGTTACAAAATTGTCACAATTTCATAATCTTAGTGACTTCCACGTTTCAATGACTCTTGGAACTTGTACACCCACATATGTTATTTTATAGGTACGATTTTCAAATATTTATTTATGAACAGACGACCAATAATATATTCATACAAATTTCCGAAGAAATATAGGTATCGATATTTTTTACCAACCACATTAATTAAAAATGGGAATTTTTAGAGAAAATGGGACAATCAATTAAAAATATTTTAAAGATTTTTTAATTATTTTATAAAGAAATAAAATGTATATTTAGACCTTGAATGAAAGAGGCTTTTGAATTTTTTAAAATTTAAAAACCAAAAAAATTGACTATCAAATTTTTATAAAAATTTGGAAAACAATTTTTATGAAAAAAATCAACTTAAAACTAAATTTTTTTTTGAATTTACAAAAATCAAAATCCAAAATCCAAAATTTTAAAACTAAAAACTAAATATCAAACCCAAAAACTGAAAATAAAATAAGATATATAAATGCACGTGTTGAATGGATAGGAGAAGACAGAGTTCTCTTATCTAAATTGATAAATGATTTATAGTTTAATTAAAACATTTAAAAATAGGAAAAATAGTATATAAATACCTAAATTTTTATAAAAATCTCATATAAATGTCTAAACTATAAAATTTCTATATAAATACTTAAATTTTTCTAAAATCTTATATAAATACCTAAACTTTTAAAAAAATTTCAGACAACTATTTGTCGATCCAGTTCATAAAAAATCGTACGGTTCTGAGTTATAAATGTTTTGACTTTGTCTACGCAGCATCATGTTCCTTTTTTTTTCGAACTCAAACATGTAATAAAAAAATTAAATAAGACAAAGTTCACGTCAGTATCTCCGTTCGTAGCTTTCTAGAAAGATACATACACAAACGTCGAATCGACGGGACCAAGTCGTTTTTCCTTCTCCGTTACGCGCCAACGAAGACTGAGCTGTACATGCCACGTATGCATTGACCCTGTCTTTCCTCCCATCACAGCTCTCCCTTCATATATATCCACGTGGTATCTCCAGAACTCTCCTTCACTCTCTCGTATATCACAGCCATGTGATTCCAGAATTCCCGTGATATCTAATCTGACGGCTGATATTTCACGCTGCCCGTAGGGAATAGAGATCTGTGTTCTACGTGTCCACTGCGTGTCTGGGACGAGTGAAGAGAAAAAGGAACACATTTTTCCAAAAAAAAAGAAAGTATTATGTTTTATTTCTCAAATCCAAACAATACGTTAGGTATAAAATATAATATATTTAGAAAGTAATTAATTTATTATGATATCATATCCGGAATCATTTATTTTTTTCACGATCTGTTCTCGTCATGTTATAAATCATTATTATAGTTTCAATATCTATGTTCTGTCATGTGATAAAAAAAATAAAATAAAATCCCACCCATGTTTTCCCTTAAAAACAATGTAAACCGAAACTAACTAATATCATGTGAAAGAATTAAAATATTTGAGAAAATGAAAGGTTCTGCTGAGAAGAATGTCTGTCAAGTAATAGTTATAAAAAATTAATTTTAATACATTTTTCCGACCGATCTATAGGAAACTATTCTTTTCATTTAAAATATAAATTTGTATTTTTATACAAGTTTACGATTTTTTTAAAATTACAATATTCATCTTTCTTATCTTATAACGTGAGAGCATGTTGTTATAATGGTGTAAATAATTTTTAAAATGGAGGAAAAATATATTCATATGGAAACTTTAAAAAGAAATATCTGAGGGTTGAAAAACAAAGGTAAATAAAAACTTACTAAAAAAAAGGTTCCATAAAAAAAACTTACTAAAAAAAGGTGATCAAGAAATAAAGAGAGGCCATTCTCTCCCTCTCAACCACCATGAAACGCGGTCCAAATTCTCTCCTTATAATCGCATTCGACCCGCTCTAGGGTTTCTTCATCATCACTCTCTTTCTTTTTCGAAATTCGCAAAAAAAAAAACTTTTTTTTTTTGTGAAATTGTCGCACGTGAAACGTGGCTTTCTCGGAGAATCCGATTTTCTCTGGAAAATTTTTCTGGTAGAGGATGCCAGCGACGGATTATCAGGGATCGTTTGGGAGGTCGTTGCTGAGTCTGCGGCGTGACCAAGTGCACTCGGTGGACTCCGCTGGAGCTAACGAACCGACTTCTATGGAGATTGAGCTTGATTCGTTCCAGAGACAGGTCGCCGAGAGGTTCATCGATCTTACTGTCTCCAGTGCCGATGAGATTCTGTCGCTCGAGTGGATCGGTAAGCTCCTCGATGCCTTCCTCTGTTGCCAGGAGGAGTTTCGCGCCATTATCTTCAACCACAGGTCTCATCTCCACAAACCTCCGATGGACCGATTGATGGCCGATTACTTCGAGAGGAGCGTCAAGGCGCTCGATGTCTGCAACGCGATCCGCGATGGAATCGAGCAGATCCGGCAGTGGCAGAAAATGATCGAGATCGTGATAAGCGCGCTGGACACCGGCTCCGGAGGAAGCGGCCAGAGACCGCTTGGCGAGGGGCAGTTCCGCCGCGCTAAGAAGGCTCTGATCGATTAGCATTATAAGTTTCGATGATCTTTAATTATACAGTCGGTGCTGTAGTTGTCCCCAGATGTTTCCATGCATAGACAGTGAAAGATCGGTTCTTCACAGCCAAAGCTCGTGCATTAATGGCGGATTTAGATGTATGTGATGCTAAAACAGTCGTGTGAGAATCTGATAGGACAAAGTGGTGGAGACAGAATTGAACTTGGCCTTGGATCAAGCAGTGTTGCATTGCATTGTAGATGGAATCTCTTTCGGTCGCAACAACAAGGACCACCACCACCACCGTTCCATCGGTCATTTCAGGTCGCTCTCATGGAGCGTTTCGCGGTCGTGGTCTGCTGCTAGGCAATTGCAGGCTTTGGGGAACAACTTGGCAACCCCTCGAGCAAATGACGTCATGGCTACAAATGGCCTCGCTGTTACGGTTTACACAATGACGTCGATTTTGTTGTTCCTAATGTGGGTTCTCGTTGCAGCGATACCTTGCCAAGACCGGGGTTTACAATTGCATTTCTATGTTCCTAGGCATTTCCAATGGGCAGCACCAGTCATGTCACTGCACGATAGGATCCTCGACGAATCGAAGAAGAGGGACAGAAAGAACGCATGCGGATTGCTCAGAGAGATTTATCAGATCGAGAGAAGCTCGAGATTGGTTGGGGATTTAGTAGATTCAGTTCATTTCCCATTGGCGGAGGAGAAGGAGATAGAGGTGAATCAGAAACTGCAGGAACTGGTACAGGTTTACGAAGATTTGAAACAGGGTTTGGACCCATTTGAGAGGAAAGTGAGAGAAGTTTTCCATCGAATAGTCCGTAGCCGAACTGAGGGACTTGATTCACTTGGAAGAGTTTCAGAATGATCCCAAGGTTAGACAATACTCCCGGGGTGAACTTGAATTGTGTTTTCTTTTTGTGGGATATGAAGAACATGAAGAGGGCAGAAAGCTGGTTGAAGAAGAAATATTTTGGCATTCAGGAACTCGAGAAAACAAATGGGTAAGGAAAAGGGATCTTTCTTATCGATCTTGGTATTTATCACTACATAAGGCGTAAAGAAGCTTAGGATATGGAAGTCGGTCTTGTGATGCTGATGATGTTCATCCTAGTTGCCATTATGTAATTGGTTTTTGTGTCGAATGCATCCTTTGGTGTACCTCGTTTCTTCGGGCCCTGATTATTGTTTCTTTGTTGTTGGTATATAGGAAAAGTCTTACACTTTTTTTTTTCCTCATGTTGTCATCAGAACTTACATTCCAAAGTTGCGCAATAGAGAGGAGGAAAATTTCAGATGTAATGCAGTGTTATATCAGTTAGTGTATTCAGATTTTGCTCTTCAAACACAGAGCCTTTTTAACTCTTCGATCATTGCTTGATTTTTATTACTGTCTGGACATCTATGTTGATATGGGAATTCTGCTGTATGTCCAAACAATGGTTTCCCCTGGCAGTAAATGTGATTTTACGAATCTCAGAGGATCTATACTCTGTTTTTTCGGATAGGTAGTGTTAAAGGTTACACACATCATGGAATGAGAGTGTTTTTCCTCTGATTTTTGAATTGTTAGGTGTTTATGCTATCATGGGGGCTTGACAATGTTGGGCCTTTATGTTCTTTTCAGCATCCATTGCTTCGAAAGCATCGATCATTCATCTGGTGTATCTTCCTCTTGTGTTACATTGTTTTCATTTCAACCATTGATTCTCGACTTGTAAGGTTCTCTTCTGTGTGTTTGACATATCTGCACTAGATTTTTCTGCTGCTTTTCGTGGCTGTGATTCTTCCTTTCACACGTGATTTGGCAAACTGGAAAACACACTGGGGGGAACAAAAACCAGCGAAGTTAATCTCTCACACAAGATATTAAGGTATGCTCGGTCCCACTTGCCTTAATGTTTAAGAAATCTGTTAACTGAAACCAAACTATTTTGGCATGATTCTTTGGTGGATATTCCAAGTGCCCAAGTAATGGTTTCTTCCACACTTCTTAGACCTACATAGCTTCGGCATGATCTGTACTTTTCTATTAGCCTGTTCATTCAGTCTTTGTGGGGTTCTAAGTTAAACTGATATCTTTTGTTAGTTAGTTCTTAGATCTGTTGTCCACATTTCCGCTGTCAGTTATTACGGGTACACTCAATGTCTCCACATCTGTCCTGACCACACACCCATGCTGAAGGTTGTCAGTCAACATGTCTAGTGAGCTAATTTCTAACAGATTTTTCCCTGCTAATGAATACCCGATTTGCGTAAATGAGCTTCTGGTGCATCGGAAGCGTTGTTTTTTGGGACATAGCTGGTTAAACTATCTTGTCCTTACTGTAGTTTTTCCTCAGGCATTAGGAAATCATTCCATTTACTCTTTCTGTTACTCTTGACTCATCGGTTTTGGTTCACGGTTGTGAACAATGGTGAACGAGAATAAAGTCACCCCGGGAATGCATATTTAGGAATGACTTTGTCATCCCCATAGATGACTGGCATTTTCGTGTTTAGTTGTTCTTAATCATAAGAGATTTTTACAGTGTTTCTTTGGGGTTAGCATTATAAGTTTCGATGATCTTTAATTATACAGTCGGTGCTGTAGTTGTCCCCAGATGTTTCCATGCATAGACAGTGAAAGATCGGTTCTTCACAGCCAAAGCTCGTGCATTAATGGCGGATTTAGATGTATGTGATGCTAAAACAGTCGTGTGAGAATCTGATAGGACAAAGTGGTGGAGACAGAATTGAACTTGGCCTTGGATCAAGCAGTGTTGCATTGCATTGTAGATGGAATGGATTTGTGACTTGATTTTGTCCATTGGCTTTTGTTCTTCCGGTGGTATACCAAACCTGTCAATGTCTAAACCGGTTGGTTTTCCGGTATTGTTGTGTCCCTACCTGATATCTGTTGTTATTCTTGTGGCTGAGATTAGACCAGGGAAAGGCCCATGTTTACATACTGTGTTGTAAATTTACTATAGCTCGCATTGCTTGATCTTTAGGGTTTTGCTTTCTACCTTTTTTTTTTATTAGTTTAAACTTTAAAGTGTTCAGCTTTACAGGTGAGAGCAAGAAACAGATTCTGCTTTATAAAAATGGCGGCTTCTTTTTTTCTTTTCATGCGGAACTGGACTGTTTTTAGTTACATTTTTTGTTTATTGGTGGTGTCCATGTTTTTGTTAAATTCCCTCCATAAAACTAGAGTGCCAAAAAGAGCTCGATTCGTAAGCGCTTCATATTTTACAATATGGATTCAAGAAATTTGAGTCCCGAAAAAAACGGGTTAGTCCGAAAACCGAGTCAAGAAAAAAAAATGTATTTAAATTTTTTATTTTTTATATTATTTTTTAAATATTTTTTTTATTTTTATATCTGTTCATATATTTTAAATTTTTTAACTAACTCGTAAAGCGGTTCACGAGTCAAAGCGATCTGGGTCGAAACAGAAAATTTCTGGCTCGTAAAAAGCGGGTGGCATCCGAATTGTACCCAAAAGGGGCTTACTCGAAGTTTGAACCGATCTGGAACATATTGGACCAAACCAGCCGGTTTTGCACCCTAATACCCCATTAGAAACGAGCGAGGCTCATCCCATGGACAAAATTATTCTATTTGATGTGGAAATTATTGGAAAATTAGATATTTGAATAATAAGGTTTTGGATAATATACAGACAATGTCCGGAATTTTAGATGTGGGATTTAGATATTTCATTCTTCATATTTTATATAATTTAAAAAAAATATTTTTATATTAAAAATTCTGAAATTGTTGGCAGTATTTTTAAATTACTCTTATTTTAATTTATTACTTATTAGAAATTAAAAAAATTAATACCAAATCTTAATATTCGAAACAGATATAAATTCAGATATTTAAAAAATTTCGAACAATCCGTTCTACGTTAACTCCCAGTTAGAAAATCCCAAAAAGAAAAAACAATGGATTGGATTCACTGTTAGAACCAAAACATATGAACCGAATCTGAAGGGAGTTCTGACTGTGGCTTCAATCGGGTTTCTTATACGTATGGACAAAACCAAATTCAGACAGAAACAAACCGAACCAAAGTCTCACTTCTTCCCAAACCATGAGAACCTAATCCAAAGAGTTTGGTTCACTGAAGTCACACTTACTGTTCCGTTGGTTCGAGATTTTGTGACGTATACACGTGGAGATAATATTAGTGAATAAGGGCATATATGTCTTTGCCCAACTCAATATTAGGTTCTCCTACGTTAGGGTTTTTTAAGTATGTATATATATACATGTTCGATGAATGACAAGGGACATATTTTTGGGTTTGCATGTCAAAGTCTGACATGGTATCAGAGCAGACTCAGGGTTAGGGTTTCTCAGATTTTTTTTCCTACTCATTCTCGTTATTTCATCTGGTTGTTACCACCATGTCGGGTGAATCCGAAGACTCCATCACGAGCCCTCCGGAACAGCCTCAGCAGTCTCAAATTCTCGTGCAACGTCGCACAATCTCTCCTTACGACTTTACCGCTAATGATAATCCCGACAATCTGATTTCTCACACGTTGCTGAAAGAACACAATTACAGTGATTGGTCTGTGATATTCGAACAGCTTTGCGTTCAAGGAAAAAGTTTGGTTTTGTTGATGGTTCTATTGCACGACCATCATCCGATTCCGAGGACTTGGAAGATTGGTGGACTATCAACTCCCTGATTGTCTCTTGGAACCGGAATACGATTGACTCGTCTCTTCGTCCGAATATACCTAACACCGAGGTTGCTGCAGACTTGTGGAATGAGTTGGCTACTCAATTCTCAGCATCCAACGGTGCTCGCCTCCAGTTTCTCAAATCTGAACTCTCAAGTTGTCGTCAACATGGTATGTCGATTGCCACTTATTTTGGAAAATTGAGGAAATTATGGGACGAGATTGCCTTGTATGAGAAGATTCCGACATGTACCTGTGGTGGCTGCATATGTCGGATCGCTGACATGTTATTCAAACAACGAGAAGAAAAGTATATTCATCAGTTTCTTCTTGGTCTCGACGATTCGATGTTCAACACTGTTTGTTCGAGTTTGTTATCACAAACTCCACTTCCGTCACTCGCGAGTGTGTATTCTACGGTACAACAAGAAGAATCAAAACGGGCTGCTGTCAAGGCTAAAGACGATCGCGTTGATATTATGGCGTTATCGGTTCAATCTGATTTGAAGCCTAGACAACGCCCTGATACGAAGGAAAAATCTTCGAGTTGCACTCATTGTGGCCGAGTTGGTCATGTTGGGTTTCGGTACGGGTTCCTAGCATGCGATCATATCGATCTAGGGTTTGGTTTACTAGGTTTCATGCAGCGGAAGGATAATCTAAACCTAGTCAAACGTCACACGCAACCAAACTCATCCGTAAAACCCCGTATAATCGTGTATATCACCGTGAGAATCGAACACTTACCTCTTTCCTGAAGAAACGGAAGTAGGAGTCGATCTGGGGCCTGTTTAATCACCTAGGACTGAAGTTACAGTCCCTCTACACGTATCCACACCGACGGGAAGGATTCCAAACGCTTTTTGGAACCGATCTGCTAGGATCTGTGAAGTATATGAAGTGGGATCTAATCCCGAGAGCTAGAACTATTAAAGAAACGATTTCTTCTGTGTTTTTGCTCTGTCTTAGGGTTCTGAAAGTCAATTCTTCACTTAGGACGGCGTCGAACACCTCCTTATAAGTTAGAAACCCTAATCCTTGTGAAAAGAGACTTTTTCCGAGTATTGACTCGGTTCAGAACTCTGACTCGGTCGAGTCAGAACGAATCAGCCCAAGCCCATTGTCAACTCTTGACGCGGCCCATTTAGTATTGACTCGGTCTGAGTCAAAACTTTGACTCGACCGAGTTAAAACATCAGCCAAACCCAAAACACTTTCTGGGCTTCGACTCGCATGGAACTGACTCGGTCCGAGTCAAATACTGACTCGGTCCGAGTTGTATCCCTATTGGTGTGTGACCCTGTAGGCCCATTCTAAGTGGTAGTGACTTTAAGAACCATTCCCGATCTACAAGTCATGGTTAGCCTCTAGCAAGACGCCATGACTACCCACGTAGAATTGAGTTAGAGGTGATCTAACCAAGGCAGTAACAGCTCGAGTTCTGATCCTTTGTCTCACGATATCATATGTTGAACAAGGGCATGGTTTGAGCCACCCTTCAAGTTCAACTGCTTTCTCGTCTTGGCAAATCGACTAATAAAATAGATGCAACTTCATCTATAGCGTGGCCACGCGTTTTCATAGTCCGATTTCCACGAGAGGGCCCAGCGATATCTCTCCTGTTAAGGAGGTGACAAGTCCCATATTGCATGTCTACTATCTCCATATGATTCGTAACGTATCTGATCAACGCCGTTATAATCATCCGGTTAAAGACGATGTTTGACGCAGTCAAGACACGCCACTCCTCATATCAGATACTCTAGACATCTCAGGTCTGAGGATCCAAGAACGAACCGCTGTATGAGATTCAAGTCATGACTCTGTCCATGTGACAATCTCATGCGGGTCAACCAGTCACTCGTTCACAACGAGTACCCATGATTGTGATATGCATCCAATGCATCGATCACACCTCATGCTAGTCTTAATTCATCATTGTTCCCACAATGATAACTGACCAGGGTGTTTAGAATCATTCTCTAATGATTCAAGGATACCGAAATATAACAAACATGCCAATCATATAACGGGAAGAGTAATGCATTCATGAACCAATGAATCAATACAAAGTCAAAATATCATATCACGGATCATCCTAGAGCATCATAACCAACAGGTCATTCAGTGGACACGTGCTTTGAGCTGCATGGGTTTCCCGATTGGTGGACTGATCGATCTTCGAAATCTGGTCGGGGAACACGAGGTCGTGGCGGTCGTACAAACGGTCGAGGACGGGGTCAAAATATTCGCGCCAATGCTACTCAAACGTCTGATTCGTCTCATCAATCAAAACCGAATCTTAATGTGCCAGATCCGAGTAGTGTCGGACTTTTGGGCATTAGTCAGGATCAATGGAAGACGTTACTCAATCTGTTGAATGCGACACGAGCTAGTACTACTGAAACCACTTCAGGTACACGTTTTTTTAATACATGGATTATTGATTCTGGTGCTGGAAATCATATGACAGGTCAATTACATCTTCTTTCGGATATTACATCGATGTCGGCATGTGATGTTGGTCTTCCCGATGGTAATCATGTGATATCTGCCAAAAAGGGAACTGTTCGATTGACGGATCAGTTTTCAATTCACAACGTTCTTTTCGTTCCGGGCTTGACTTGCAATTTGATCTCTGTGGCTCAATTGCTTGGCAATTCAGATTTTGCGGTTCAATTTACCCATCAGATGTGCGTTATTCAGGAGCGGCATTCGAGGATGCCGATTGGAGTCGGTGAGCAGTGTAATGGACTCTATTATCTTCGGGGATTGGTGAAGACAGCAGCCTTCCACATCAAAGATACGTCAACATTTGAGTTGTGGCATCATCGCTTAGGTCACCCATCTCGTTCTGTTACCTCTTTGGTTTCTGGTTTTGCTGTTTCAGATTCTGATTGTTCTGGTAATAAGGCTTGTGAAATTTGTCTCCAAGCCAAACATTCGTGTGATTCGTTTTCTTTGAGCAGTAATAAAACATATCGGATTTTTCAGCTTGTGCATTGTGATATTTGGGGTCCGTATAGTACATCTTGTTCGGATGCTAGATATTTTCTAACAGTGGTTGATGATTTTTCGCGATCCGTATGGATTTATCTATTGACAGTAAAATCCGAGGCAGCTAGTATCTTCGTTCTTTTATTTCCATGGTTGAAAGACAATTTCACGTTGAAGTACAAACAGTACGTAGTGATAATGGATCTGAGTTCTTAAGTTTGTCGTCTTTCTTTCTCAATCTTGGTATCATTCATGAGACATCATGTGTCGGAACACCACAGCAGAATGGTCGTGTTGAACGAAAACATCGACACATTCTTAACGTGGCACGTGCATTACGATTCCAATTTTTTCTCCCAATCGAGTTTTGGGGCGATTGCGTTCTTACGGCGGCTTATTTAATCAACCGCACTCCTTCTACGTCTCTTCTTGGAAAAACACCTTATGTCATGGTCGTTCATGTGACTTGTCCCATCTGCGTGTGTTAGGTTGTCTCTGTTATGCGCATGCTCAAGATCATCGTGGCAATAAATTCGCAAGCCGAAGTACGAAATGTGTTTTTTGTTGGATATCCTTATGGTAAGAAAGGTTGGCGCTTATTGGACGTGGCTCGTGGCTCGTGGCACGTTCTTTGTCTCTCGTGATGTGGTATTCTGTGAAGACCAATTTCCGTACTCATCCTCGCCGATCACTCTTCCTGCATCTTCTTTGGATACGGCCCGTTCGGATGTGTTATTAGATGATGATTCCCCAGCTGCTCTGTGCTATCCTCCTACGAAGACTGCTCAGACCAGCCAACATGCTGAAGATCCGTCTCAGGTTTCTCACGAGCCTACCGACAGGGGGGGGCTTAGGTTCTCCTACTCCATCGTCTTCGCTGGGTGTTGCTCCTCGCTGAGGTACTCGTTTTCGGCAAGCACCTAAGAATCTCCAAGATTTTGTCTTGAATACTGTCCAGGTTATGAGCACTTCATCGTCGGTGCCGCCTTTACAGTCCACTTCGGACATTCTGTACCCCTTGTCTCATTGCTTGTCTTCCGGACGTTTATCTTCATCATATCGGGTGTTCCTAGCAGCTTACTACGGACACTGAACCCACCTCGTTTGCCACTGCTGTGTGTGATCCTCGTTGGAGACAAGCCATGAAGCAAGAACTTGATGCTCTTCACCGTAATGACACATGGACGCTCGAACCTTTACCTATCGACAAGAAGGCTATCGGTTGCAAATGGATCTATAAGATTAAGTATCGCTCGGACGGATCGGTTGAACGATACAAAGCGCGGCTTGTTAACTTGGGTAACAAGCAGGTAGAGGGTGTTGATTACACTGAGACATTTGCCCCCGTAGCTAAGATGACCACGGTTCGTACTTTCCTTGCGGTTGCAGCAGCTCGTCATTGGGAAGTGCATCAAATGGACGTTCATAATGCATTTTTGCATGGTGATCTATCAGAGGAAGTATATATGAAACTGCCGCCAGGACTGAACAATACCACTGATGGACGGGTTTGTCGACTTCGCAAGTCCTTATACGGCCTTAAACATGCCCCACGTTGTTGGTTTCATAAGCTCGAACGTGCTTTGCATGCATTTGGTTTCAAACGATCGTACGCAGACTACTCTCTTTTCTCGTATTTGAAAGGCTCAGTTCGGCTCAATGTTCTCGTCTATGTCGACGACTTAATTGTAACCGGAACATCGTTGGACCTCATCCAACGGTTTAAGGATTATATGGCTTCATGTTTTCACATGAAAGATTTGGGGCCCCTTCGATACTTTCTTAGCATTGAGGTGACTCGAAATGCAGAGGGTATCTATCTCTGTCAACGAAAGTATACTCTAGACATTATATCCGATGTTGGCTTGCTCGGGGCCAAGCCTGCGGCGTTTCCGCTCGACCAGAATCATAAGCTTGCATGCGATGACAGTCCTTTTCTTGATGATGGTGAGCCATATCGACGGTTGATTGGTCGACTAATTTACCTCGTCAACACTCGTCCGGACCTTGGCTATAGTATTCAGATTTTGTCTGAGTTTATGCAATCCCCTCGTGTGGCTCATTGGGATGCGGCGGTTCGGGTCCTTCGTTATTTAAAGAAGAGTCCGTGTCAAGGAATTTTACTGCGCGCTGCGAGTCCTCTACAACTGACTGCATGGTGCGATTCGATTATGGTGCAGACCCGGTGAAACGTCGCTCTCTTACCGATTGGTTTGTTCAGCTAGGAGATCTCCGATTTCATGGAAGACCAAGAAACAAGCGACATTGGCTTGTTCCTCAGCCGAAGCAGAATATCGTGTCATGGCTTCTACTACCCGAGAGCTTGTTTGGTTGCGACAGCTTCTGCTGGATCTTGGTGTTCATCTCGATCGTCCCATGCAATTAAATTGCGATAGCCAGGCTGCGTTACATCTCTTCCAATCCCGTCTTTCACGAACGTACTAAACACATCGAGATTGATTGTCATTATGTTCGCGATCAACTTGAGGCTGGTTCCTTAGTGACTCGTCATGTCAGAACACATCATCAACTTGCAGATATATTTATTAAGGCGCTCGGCAAACGTGAATTTGAGTTTTTTGTTTCCAAGTTGGGTGTGTTCGATATACACTCTCCAACTTGAGGGGGGTATTAGTGAATAATGGCATATATGTCTTTGCCCAATTCAATATTAGGTTCTCCTACGTTAGAGTTTTTTAAATATGTATATATATACATGTTCGATGAACGAGAAGGGACATATTTTTGGGTTTGCATGTCAAAGTCTGACAGATAAGAATGCGGAAAATTTACACAAACTCATTTAGACCCAAATAAAATACACGAATGGTTAGGCGCAAAACATACAACAAAAAGTCTATTCAATATAGAGTAAAACTCATACAAATTTTTAAACTTGTAAAATGGTAAAAAAAATAAATTTCTAATTTTTTCATTTATCAAATTTATTCTCTAACTTTGTAAAATATATCAAAACTAGTAAAATGATACATTTTCCAAACTTATTTTTAAATCAACGTCGAGGTTTCTTTTGAAACCAATTAACAAATTTGAAAATTGCACATTTTGCAAATTTTAAAATAAATTTATTAAACAAAAAATTAGAAATTTAATTTATACCATTTTAGAAATTAAGAAATATTTTAGATTTTATCCTAAAATGTATAAGCCGATATTACATTTTAAATATGTAGGTTCCATCATTTGAATCCATAAATGAAACGATCTAAATCCATAAATCATTGAAAATTAAGTACATATAGAAAATGAACAGCCATTTACATATTTAAACTCTATATGTGGTTTTTGATCGTTGAAGTAAGTTTGCTGAAAAAATATAATTATGATCTGAAGCATTTTGAACAATTTCGTTTCAACTATAACAGATACACGTTTAAAAAGACACCCCAACAAACCAACTCAACTAAACCATCTATTGGTCCAACAAAACATATACGTATATATATATATTCTTAATACAGCCGACAAGCACCAATGGCGCACATGCAGATTACAACATCCCTTAGAAACACTACACAATTCGAGCATGTACATATGCAGCATCACCACCACTCTTGCAAATGATTACTGATAGAGATTACAGTTACATATATATATATATATATATATATATATATATATGTGTGTGTGTGTGTGTGTGTGTGTTCCTCAAGAGGCAGCATCAACCACACACTCACTCTTTACGTGGATACATACTCATATATACATATCATGTGTCCTAACGCATATAAGATTTACTACAGAAACTGCATCCCTAATGATCTCTGGATTCCTAACAAAAAACATCTAAATAATCTCCAGAAGATGTTACCCGTGGTGGATGTTGAATTATGTTCACTGATGCTCCCATTTTAGATTCTCTCCTCTTTACCTCAAGGGGTCATCACATCAGCCAATACGGTAAAAAGGAAGATTTTTACCAGCCACAAATACAGAGCTCGTTAATTTTACCACTCCGATGATCGGACCCTACGAAGGACAGGCGGTTTCCTAACCACTGGAATCGCCATCTCCATTAGCTGTCAGCACAAGGAAGTGGTTTAAAACACCATTAGTGTTTAATTCCATAGCTGTTTATCAGATTCCTACTGGTTCTGCAAGAGCGGGTCATACGCCTTCAACCATATAAAGGCCATAGTTCCTCCTAGTTCGTTAGTGCTCATCAACTAAGGTTAGTTCACATTGAGATGACGAGAGACAACTACATGTATTGCAGGTAAAACTGGGTGTCGGGCTACTCTTGGGGAAGAGTTAGGCACACAAAAGCAGATATGAAACCATTATTACCTTCTTGTATCTTTCCTTCGTTCTTTCGGCCTGTGGATATACAAAAACAAGATTTGCTCAGAAATTAGAATCTACGGTTGCATGGAGAAAAAGACAATCTGAACATCTTTGAACTGCCAGCAATTACAGACGAACCATGGACAAAATAGAAAAAGCATCTATGGCGCTTACAGCAAATTTACAGGACAATGTAAGCATCGTTCAAAAAGAGCTTATGACAATTTGATCTATGGATGTTGGAGAACCGAAGCAGCAGAGCATAGAAATCTTTTCAGTTTGGCTATTACAACATCTAAAAGATTGGTACTATTACCATAACAAATTTTACGAATGCATAAAGCTCATGTTTAGATTCTCATCCCTGAAGCTCAACATGCTAATGTTCTTGATTCTCTTCCCGTCACAAAAGTTCAAGGCGATCTCGAAGAATAAACATGCAAATTTGATATACCTTTTCCCTCCACAACTGCTCATTCTCCTCCTCTAGTTTCGCTGCCAAGGACTCCAACTCAACTTGATAAGCCTGAAATTCCCAATCAATCACGATACCGCAAGATCAATCACATATACGAATACGCGAAATACGCATAGGAATCAAGCCGAAAAGAGACCTGCTTCCGCTCCCTGGACCTCGCAGCAGATTCACGATTCTTGATCATTCTCTTCTGCCGCTGTGCAGCAACCTTATCCAACGGTTCCATAATCATTCTCGCTCTCTTTCCCCTGGCTCCGCCACGACCCCCTCCTCCTCCATAGACATCCAAACCGTTCCCAAACCCGACGATAGATCCTTCAACCTTGTCGATCATCTGAAACGGCGTCAGCGGCGCTGAATCGAATGCGTAGACCCCGCCGCCAAGCCTCTCCGGCGGAATCTTCACATCCATATCCTCCGATTCCGTCGTACCCACCGCATCATCCACTGCCGCCTTTGCCAGGAAATCCTCCAGCGTCATTATATCCTCCTGCGTCTCCTCCTTCATCTCCTTCTTCTCCCCCGACACAATCTCTCTCCAAACATCATCTACACTCTTCCCCAGCGTCTCAGCCGCACTCATAGCCCCGTCACTACCTCCCCCTCCGCTCCGGTCAACGTTAACAGCCATCTCCACCGGTACAGGAGCAGGATCGTCAAAGAGAGAAATAGACGCGTCCAGAAGCGTAGACTCCGCGGCGGCCGCCACCGACGAAGAAGACGGAGGATCCGCACCGTAAGCGTCCCGCAGAATCCCGTCTACCTTCATCGAGGAACCGAATCTGTCGTTCAAACCGCCGTAACCGCCGCTTATCCTCGACCGATCGGCGCTCGAATCTTGCTTCAGCTGGTGTGATCTTATAGTAGGAGAAGAAGAAGCAGAAGAAGAATTACGACGAGACAGATCCGAGTTTCTCGAGTTGGAAGAAGGCATCACCTTAAACGACGCCATTTCCGGAGGAGTGAGGAAGTTCCGTTGCTCCTTCTCTCTCTCTCTCACCAGAATCGAACAGAGGGAATCTCTCGGCTTGTTTGACTCAGCAACGAGATCGAAGAACAACAATATCGGAGATGGTGGATATTTTTTCTCGGACTAGAAAGTCTCGAGAGATTTTTCCTCGATTTAGGGTTTTCTGATTTCTTTTCCCCGCAGGAAGGAATATGTTCGAGGTGTGACTGGGGATCAGGGAGAAGCGCGTGAGATAGGGGAACGGGAGCTGCCGGTTTCCCGTAACAAAGGCCTTTTGCTTTCTTTCCTGTGGGCCCAAACAATGGTGCGTTCTGTAGCTTGGTTCTATTGTCGGCTTCTTCTCCGAGCGCGGGCTTTTTCTTTTTGGTTAAAAAACGGTGAATGGTATATATTTATGAACGCAACATACAAAACGTTTGTTTCACAAAAGACCCAGCCAAGCTGTACCAACCGGATATCAATGCATCAAAAGATCACAAAAGGGCACAAAATAATTTTCCTGCGATCCTCTCTAGCGCTATACTCTGAGCGATTCCGACAAAAAGAACTAGTCTTGGAGAAAGGAGCCGGTGGATCGTGGTAGATCGTTGTGAATGTCTCGGCTGTGCAAGTAAAATATTCCTTAGCGTTCGATCAATTACCGCAATGATTGATTCTAGGGTTTTAATCCTCTTTTCTGAAGATCCTGTCGTTTCTCTCCTTCCATATGTAGAAGGTAGAGATCTGTACAAGAAGCTTGTACAGCAGGCTGCTGTCATTTCCCGGGTTATCAGCCCAAGTGGTGCAGAGGTCGATCGAACATAGGAGGAGATGGCCAATATAAGTGATGGTTCGGATTTTATCTAGATTTCATTGTGACATACCTTTGGTTTTTAGACATTTTTTACACATCCCTAGGCATTTTAGAGTCCATTCAGCTCTTCGGGACTATTTTGCGGTTTTTGGCAGGTCTACGAGGAGAAATACAGAAATTTGACGTAAGGCAAGGGAATCAGAGACTTGGATCGGACTGAATCAATGCCGGTTTGGCCGAACCAGACACCCGAGGATTTGGAGACGTTGTAGGAGACATGTAGACCCAAACCGTTGTGCAGAAAACGAAACAGAGAGCCGAGAAGAAGAAACGTCGTCTCGACCGATTGGTCTGACATAGACCGATCAATCTAGACGTCGGTAGACCGTTCCGGTCCGAGGAAAATGTGTTGCCTGGAAACCGAAGACTAAGACCGGTCGGTCTAGGCACTATCGCCGTCTGGACCGACCGGTCCAGAGAGAAGAAACGCGTCGCGAGAAAACAAGGCCTAGACCGGTCGGTCTAGGCATTACCACCGTCTGGACCGACCGGTCCAGAGAAGAAAGAAAACGCGATAAAATGAGACCGAGACTGTTGGTTTAGTGCTCTATGATGTACTGTTTATGAGATTTATTTAGATACATTTGATGTATTGATACTTTCTATGGTTTATGAGAGTATTTGATTCATTACATGTTCTTGCATACTAGATGTGTTATGAAATCCATGTATCATTATGAATGATACTTAACTCCCTATTCTTGTGTCATTATGGGAATGATGACATAATAAGACTAGTATGATATGTGATTAATGATCATATAGATGATCATAGGTATTGGATACGATCACAGTCATAGGTATTCGTTGGAGAACGGAATACTGGATTGACCCGCATGAGATTGTCACATGGACTAGTGTCATGACTTGAATCTCATATGACGGTTCCATGATTGGATCCTAAGACCTGAGATATCTACGGAATCCAACATGAGGAGTTGCGTACTTTGATTACGTCAAACGTCCTGCGTAACAGGAGGACTATAAAGGCGTGTATCAGGTACGAAACGAATCATGTGCTGGATTGTAGATAGTCAAGACGAGATTTGTACCTTTCGTAAAAGAGAGAGATATCGCTGGGCCCCTCGTGTGAGCGAGACTGTAGAAATGTGTGGCCGCACTATAGACGAACGTCGTCTATTTCAAACAGTCTAACTCAGTGAACGAGAAAGCAGTCGAATCAGATAAGGTGGCTTGTCCATACCTTATATTCGACATATGATATCGTGATACAAAAGGATCATCAACCGGAATCATCACTGGCGTTCGTAAGATCACGAACAAACTCTATTTGAGATAGGTAGTCATAGTGTCTTGCTAGAGACCGCCTATGACTTGTATAATCCGGAATAGAGATTTCGGGTTATACTGCTATATCGAATGAGCCTACAGGGTCACACACGCAGGGAAGAACAAATGCACGAGAAAACGTCGAGAAATCTGGATAAGTGGTCTGGACCGTCCGGTCTAGGAGTAGACCGAACGGACCGGAGCATCTAGTCCGAACGGATCAAGTTGTTGGACCGAACGGACTAGAGAGTTCAGTCCGAACGGACCAAGTGTTGGACCGAACGGACTGACCCATCAGTTCGAACGGACCCAGTTATGAAACTGGTCCGAACGGACCAAATGTCCAGACCGAACGGACTACTGAGCAGTCCGTTCAGTCTGGGGTTCAGATTTAATTTTAAAAGTCCGAATCTAAGGTTAATCACTTGGAAAAGAGGAGAAATAGAACCCCAACACTAAGGGGCCGACAGAGAGAACTTTTCAGACCTTTTTAGAGAGTCTAAAGGGTTGAAGAAGTGATCTTAATCTCTCTTTCTCAAAGCACATCATCGAATAGAAGATTCGTGTCCTAGCAGACAAGTTCCAAAGGTTGGAATCCATCCCGAGGTGTGGATACGTGTAGAGGGCGAGGTATTCTTCCTGCCTATAGTGATCGGACGAACACATCAATTGAAACAGGCCCCAGATCGATTGAAGTAAGCGTTCTAACGTTTCTACAAGATCATGCATGATAGGTTTTAGGGTTTTATCAAATTTTTGTTTTACATCCGCTGCGCAAACCCTAGAACCGATCTCTTAGGAATACGCTCATGAGATCCCAGGAAAACCCAATAGTGGTATCAGAACCTGGTTGCTCTGCATGATTTTGTTAGAACCCGATCACGCACGTTATAGGATTTGAATTGTTTGAATCCGTGTTTGCTTTGATGCTATGCATGATTTGATTATGGATCTAGGGTAGATTTCATGTTCTTTGTATAGTGTGCAAGAGGCTTCTATTCTGAGTTCACAGGTGAAAACGGGGTCGAAATCGGATCTAAATCGGGACCGAAACGACGAAGAACGAGATCTGATCGCGTTTTTCCGCCTAGACCGAACGGTCTGGTTCTCTGGACCGGACGGTCTAGGGTTTGTCGTTTCCCTGGACTAAATGACCTCAATCCGTTCAGACCAAGATGTTGGACCGAACGGACTAAGGTGTGTAGACCGAACGGACTGCTTAGCCAGTCCGTCCGGTCTAGGTCACTAGTCCGAGAGAGAAGGTCCGAAGGGGCAAGTCCGAACGGTCTGGAGTCTGGTCCTCTGGACCGATCGGTCTAGGGTTTCGCAAGTCGGTTGGACCGACAGGTCTGGACTGAACGGTCTGCGTGCGTAGACCGATCGGTCTGGACAAATCCGTAGCGAACGGTCTGGACCGAACGTCACCCGAAGACCGAACCGCCTAGACCGATCGGTCTAGGTCCCGACGCTTCACCAAAATTTGATTTTGCGTTTCGGGATCTGGTTTGAGCAATCGTTGCTTAAAATCGTTTAGCTGTGATTCAGAATAACATGATTCTTTCTTATGGATGGTCCATAGTGAATGAATGTATGTAACTTAATCAAGATATTATATATGCTTGATTGAGTGAGAGTTTCGGGATTAGGATTGCATAATCAATTGGATTGTCCATCCGGATTATGAACAATCGTTGCACAGAAACCGGTTAGAACTAGGAGCTCTACGAGTAAAGCACTTGTCAAGGCCTCGATCGTACGTGTCATGGGCCATGCCAAAGCTGGGTGTGCCGTATTATCTTGGTGAGGCAAGATGGAGAAATGGTGGTTCTCATAGCTTGAAAGTAGATGCTTGATCTAAGTGTGGTTTCGAAAATCCCTTATTTATGTAATGCTAAGTGTGTACCTCCCATTACTAGAGCGCCTGTCAAGGCATCGATCGTCCGTAACACGGGTCATGCCAAAGCTGAGCGTGCCGGATTATCTTTGTGAGGCAAGGTGGAAAATCGTGGTTCCCACAGCTTGAACATGGTTTAACTTAGGTTAAGTTATCAAGTTTGACTTGAGACTTAATGGTACAGATGAGACGAGTATGCAATGATATTCGATATCATAGTCTCATAAAGGATCTAAGAGTCACATTGGATGTGATCGACATTAGATGTCTACCTAAATAGCATAAGCATGGGTGTAACAATCCATACTTATGTGAAATACGGATCTTAGTCCCATATAGAAAATTGTTATAGGGTTATTTTCTGTATGGGAATATAGCTCGTTTTTGCATCTATGTTGTCATTGTTTGATGATGGACTAGCTGGTAGTAGATCATAGATATGTAGACACTGATTGATGATGGGCTAGCTGGTAGTTGATCATTAATAGAATCTGCATTTGTTTTGTATGTTCTGTCTGTCTTTTTTGTAGGACATGGCGTCAACCGATAGCGTACCGAGTTTGACAATGCGATCTATCCTTGAGAAGGATAAGCTGACCGGGACGAACTTCTTAGACTGGTATCGGAACTTGAGAATTGTTCTCAAGCACGATAAGAAGTCTTACGTCCTGGAAGGGGCTCTACCACTAGAGCCTGCAGCCAATGCCACGAGGGCCGTCAATGATGCTTGGTTGAAGCATCAGACTGACGACATCGAGATCTCTTGTCTCATGTTGGGAAGCATGGCCCCGAATCTGCAGAAGCAGTTTGAGGGGAAGAGCATGTCTGATATGATCGAACAGCTCAAAACCATGTTTCAGGAGCTAGCGCGTTTGATATGATCGAACAACTCAAGACCATGTTTCAGGAGCTAGCGCGTACTGAAAAGTACAAGACGTTAAAAGCTCTAGTGAAGACGGAGATGCCGAGAGGCAGCTCTGTCAACACCCACGTCCTCAACATGCGAGCTCATGTTGAGGAACTTGAGCGTATGGGAGTAAACTTCGATGGTAACTTGGTTGCAGACTTGATCCTAATGTCATTACCCGATGACTATAACCAGTTCGTGATGCAGTACCACATGCACGAGATGACCAGTTCGTGATGCAGTTGTGGGATTGTCTCACAGTTGACTCCACCTGGAA